ATATTAGGTGTACGAATAAGTTTCTGTCGTTTTTCATCTTAAATTTTACATTTATTGGAAAAGAACGGTACGTTATGTTTTATTCAAAGTATTGTCGATTGATAGTCACTACTTCTTCCCATCTTTCTGACAGCATCCGGATACTGCGTCGTAAGAACGCTTCATCTTTTGACGCTAGCCATAAATCGGCCCGTATCTTCATACGATGTGAAGTGCTGCTCAGGCAGGCCATGCGTCATCGATAGAAACGAGTAGTAATCAGAAAAAGCAATATCTGATGAATATGGGGGGTGGAGTAAAACTTTCCAATTAAGTGTTTCCAAGTAGGTTTTGGTCGGCGCCGCAACATGAGGTCGAGCATTATCATGCAGAAGAATGATTTTGTCGTGTTTGGAGTAATAATGGGCGCGTTTTTCCTTGAGTAAGTACTCGGCTCAATCTCATCAATTGAGTTCGATAGAGAGCCCCAGTAATGATTTCGTTCGTTTTCATTCAATAATGCTTTCAATTCTGCGTCTTTGTACACTTTCGACCTTCCACTACATTTTTTGTTCGACATCAAATTCACCGTTCTTAAACTTTTGAAACCACTCACGACAACTTCTCTTACTTAATACAGCCTTACCATATGCTTCTACAAGCAATCGATGCGCCTCAGCTGCAGATTTCTTCAAATTAAAGAAGCAAATCAGAACTTCCCGCAAATGACGTTTATTCGGCTCAAAACTCGACATTACCGCACGAGAAAAATAGACTACGCTGATACACAATTGCTAATATTTCGATGTTATGTTGTTGATAAATGTGCAACCTTACGATATGACGTCTTACATCTGACACTGGCCGCCATAACTTACTGGCTACGCTATCTGATTTCAAACAGCGGAGACTTATTTGTACACCCAATAATTTCCCAATAATATCGATATAACAATTACACAAAAATCATGAGAAACGTTAAATACTGTAACGTTATATATTATATTGTAAAGTTGCACTGCAACGTACAAATGCACTGTTGTTAGAATGTTGCAGGAACATTGTACAGCAATTGCAATGTGACAATGTTAATGATAAGCAATATTGAGTGCTGTTGGGGTAGGTTTAAAGTAATTTATTTTAATTCAAGTAATTTACTAATATATTAACAATAGCCTTAATATAATGTACATTACATATAAAAACTAACTAAATGATATGACTGTTGATTACGTTTACTCTAACTATATTACTCTAACCTTTCAACAAATATATCAAATAAATTGAGCATGAAAAAGAAAAAATGTACATTAATTTTTGTACGATAATGGTTAACGTCACGGGGGATTATTTATACTTAAGTATTAAGTAACGTTAATTGTAAGAACAGATTATTAATACTTAAGTATTAAGTAACGTTAATTGTAAGAACAGAATATCAACCAATATTTTATATTTCAATTAATTTATGTATAAATCTTAAATCATGTTGTACGTAACAGATAACTAAATGTAATGGTTAACATAATACTGTATTCTATTTAAATATTTCTGGAATGCAACTTTTGGCATTTGGAAAACTGGGAAATACGTCGATAAATCACTTGGTTTACACTGATAGCATACCATCCTCTTTTGTTAAACATGTAAGGAACCTTGTCATTTTATTACAGTTCCTATATCTTGTCTTCTACTATAACTAGACTGCGTATTTTCATGCGAAATAAAATATTATTTAGGAGATAGAATTAAAAAATGAAATTTAGACATGGTCTCTATTTATTAATTAAATGTCGTAGCATCCAAATTACTTTCAGTAGTTTTTGTGATTTTGCATATTGAGTGTACTGTTCAAAAGTTAACACACTTAGTGTATAAAAATGCACAGTCTAACTATAAAATTCTCAACAAACTCATCGTCGAAACGTGTGTTTCAATTCTAGATCTATTCAACACGTTTCGTGCTCAGCCGTTTTTGCCCGACTTGTACTTCAGGCCATTTAATGTTTCAGCGCATTGAATAAATATTTCTGCATGTACCATTGTACAATTATGGTACATGTGGCCTGAAGGTCAAGTTTAAAATGTTACACGTGGCACGGAACGCGTTAAAAATTGTAGATATAATCTGCAAGATAAAAGTACAATATCTTATCTTTTAATTCATTTCGGTCAAGAGATATATCATTTCTTGTAAGAAGCTTAGGATTCACTGTGTTAACATATAATACATTTTTTAAATTCGATTCTATTATTGTGCGAATCGATTTATGCTAGGCCACAACGGGATTAAAGATGATCATTTCGGATTCAAATGACAGATGACGTGTCGTATCGCACTTTTTGTACGTTCATTGTTGACCCAGTTCAAACTGTTGGCAATGTGGTGAAATAGGGAATCGTTATCATTGCCAAATGATTTATCAATTGAATGACGAATGACTTATTTTTCATTCATCACGATAAGAATTAATATTGCACATAGAAGATATCGATCAAGAACTTTCGTTGTATTTCATATAAATGACTAAGCATTGATTACTGATTTCTTTGGGATTGTCACTTGATAATGTTCATTATTCTCATAATTAGTTTTCATTTAATTATTTAATTGCTCTTCTAATTATGCGTCAGCCATGTGAGACTAATTTAATTTAATAATTGCCAGAATACCTCGTGATGTGAAAAGTTTTATTCTGTGCGAGGGATTCCGTCATATGCCAGGCGAATGGTCCACAGCAATGGAAAGATATCTGAAGACTGATTTGCAGACCGAGCAAGAATTGTTACTGCAAGCTTTCGGATGTACCTGGGACCCTTCTCAAATAAGAGAGTAAGATAAAT